TGACTCTAGATGGGGGGCTATTCATAGTAAGTTATTCATAGGAAAATCCCTCAGGGCAAAATGTGCATTGTTCATGCCTTGTAGCACATTTTTTAATCCGTAATCTCTTGGCAGTTTTAAATGTTTTCAGTCCATGCGTAATCCTTTGGCTCCATGTGTGAGCGTAAATTCAAAACGCGCTGCATGGAAACAGTTTGCATCTGTCTTTCCATAATGGCTCCTCTATGGCTGAGACTTGATTGCCCAAATTATTTAAAAGCGAGCTTGCCTTACGGGTGCAGGAATGCATTTGTAACCTAGAAACTCCTTTTGCATGCAATTGCACACGAGGATTAAATATCTGGAGGCATTATTAAACGCTGCAGCTGAGAGCGCTACGGCTGAAATAGTCTGTCCTGTCCCGATGGCTGCACTCAAAACAGGACGTTGAAAACTGGGAAGAATGGCAAAAGGCGATCCAAGGTCTGAGAAACACATTATAGACGCTGAGATGTGAAATCCAAGGTCTGACAAACATATTAGACGCTGTGATAGTTAGTTTAGTGTCGCAAAGTGAGGGTTGCAGCGATGTACTCGCAAGTCTCTAAGTGCCTACCAGTGGAGGTGACGGTTTGATATCTGGCAGACAAGATAATGAGGGAGGCACTGGCTGAAAGTTGAAGCTGCCCCAATTAAAGCTGGCAGCCAGGTACACGGGGCAATTAAGCAGTGGAGCACCTTCATCAGGGATCGGGTAGGCTCCGTGCCACTTGTCGTTAATGAACCCGGCGCGGATGCTTTTATGGGTCGTCTCGTTGTCTAGGTCAGCCCACCAGTTTTGGAGCTAATTCAGGGCTTGTTACAGGGGAGGCCAGAGTAGATGAGTATGACAACGCTTCCTCCCTCCTGGCTTTTTAATCCGGGAATCCAGTGGAGCAGAAAGCAGGCTCTGGTCCCGGTTTGGGAATTTACTTTTAGCGTGTCCTCACGAGGGATCACTCGAGCTCTGCCTCACCTTGATATCCCCTCCTGTAAAACGAGGCTGATAAATAGCCCCCTGAAAGTGCTTCCAGAGCCTGGGTGAAAGGCGCTCTGCACGTGCCCTCTGTGCTTTTTATTCACGGGTTGCACCCTTTTGTGTGGGCCGGTGCCCAGGCGGCTGGCGTGGTTGCACATGCAGAGAAGTGCTCACATTTATGAGCCCCGTTAGTCACACAAACGGGCCGTTTGCACACTAAAAGATAGAGCCTCCCCCAGCTCCCTGGGCCTGGCTGTCGGATCTCAGCTGGGCACGCTTTCCTCTGGACTTGACTTTCCTGGAGAGGTCAGGCCCTGAGCTGTGAGCTGGGCTGTCTCCGAAGCTTTTGAATCAAGGGCATGATTTCCTCGCTTCCGCTGCAGCTGTCCATGCACCGTGCTGGGTCAAGACGGAGAGAGATCGAGCTCGACAAGTGGAGAGGGCTGCCAGCAGGTAATGAAGAGCCGTGCAGCCTGACTTCCCTTCCTATACCGCTCTGTGGCCCAGAGCAGGCGTCTTTCACGTCCTGGTGTCTCGCTGGACAGCTCCGTCCGGCCATTGCAATGCAGCAATGGCTCCTCCACGTAAGCACTTGCCGCATAAGCAGCATGCCTGCCCGTATCCCTCTCCACATCTGCCACGCATCAGCCCCGAGTTCAGCTCCTGGCTTGGTTGGCTGGACTCGTCCCTGGCTCAGCGCTATTTAAGCACCTCTTTACTGCCTCCTCTCTCCCCCGTGAAATAGGAAAGAGGGGGCTTCCTCGTGCAGGGTGTCTGTCGAACACCTTGCAATGGTCAGAGCCAGGCTGCTGTCGAAGTGCAAAGCTTTGATCTTAGCATAGTGTATTCGTTGTGCGAGGATAGGAGAACGAGGAATGAAACCCTAAGCGGGTGCCTGATTTATATTGGAGAAGAGACCAACGCGCTAGGGATTGAGCTGCAGGTGGACACGTCGCTGCCGTCTCTGACTCCTGCCCGTCTGGGAAAACACTGCTGGAAACAGCCGTATGAAACCTGTGCCCACGACATCCAAAAATGTTTGCTTCTCTCTCTCTCCTTATCACACCCCCACTGCACATAGAGTCGAGAGGAGAGAGCAGAGCACTTATGCTAAGTCTTTGCTCCATCCTTATTCAGCAAAGTGCTTAAATTGCCCCAAAGAAAGCTATGCGCCTGCTTGAGCTGATTGGTGGCCGGGATCACGGAGGCTCCCAAATGTGGCTCTCCGAAATCCACCAGCAACCTCCAAAGGAGCATGAGAGTGGTTTTTATTCTCCTGCAGCCGTACAGCCCCCGGCGTGGGCGAGTTGGTGGTAGGCATGTGAAGTACAGTTCATTATGTGGGATCGGCTTCATGCTAGCATTCATAGCATTTCCAGGGCGTCGGGAGCCTCACACGCGGGTCCCTATCAAAGCAGGAACAGCCAAGCCGGTGCTTTATTTATTCATTTAGTTAAACATGGATTTTTTGTTTTGTTTTTAATTCCCCAAGAAGTGAAAGTTTTGCAAAATGCTAAACACCTTCTGCTCTCTAGGTTCACTACAGATTCGCTTGAACTTTTTAGCACCTTTCCACTCCAACATGTTTTGGTTTTAGTACCTCTTTTCAAGCAAGCTAGTTTATGTGCATTTTTTAACGCTGAAAACTATTTGAAAAGGTGCCTAGCTGTTCTTGTCAAAACTCCCACAGCGAGACGGGCTCGGCAAGGTGGGGAGGCGGGGGGAAGGGGCGAGGAGCAAGAAAGTAAAGTTAAGAAAGAGGGGGGAAAAAATGCAAAATACACTGAACAGCAACTTAAGCGCCCAGTTAATATTCCATTAGATTGCAGCAAAATCAAATCCAGTTGTCGGCAAATTGTATCAATCTGTTCGCCGTCCAGATGTTCGCAGTGACTGACTGCTTTCATTTTCGCCCTGTGGCTGGGCTGTTTGATGCCTCTGATAGACAGGCATGTGACACCCGCTCCCGGATTGCGACTGCGCCAGCGTTTTATTTGCACATGGAACAGATGGGGCTGTGCCGTCACCGGCGGGCCGAGTGACAGCTCGAGCGAAGGGAGAGCTCATTGACACGCTATCAAATTCCACTCACTCATTCGGTAACACACTCGGGCTGGCAGGTGAGTGACTGAGCTGCACTCTTACCACCTGGAGCTCCAAGATACAGGCCCTTTTTTTTTTCCCTTTTTTTTTTTTTTAATTCCCTCTTTCATATGCCAGTCAAGGACAATTTAATTATGTGCATGCACGTGCAGGAGTCAGTCGCTGCGAACATCAGGGGATGCACTGGGCATCCCCGAGCAGAGTTTTGGAGGGCTGGATGGGGGGGCTCTGAGTTTCCTTCCCTGGCTCTTGGGGGAAATCCTCGTTCCCACCAAGCTCCCGGTACCCAGGCACCCACGTGGTTCGTTTCCCTCGCTCTTGCTAGGAAATGACCTACAGCATCACCACCCTCTTGGCCCACAAAGGATGCGCTCACCCCGGCGTGAACTCTGCACCCCACCTCCCGGGTGTTACTCAATCTCTTATCGATTATCTCATGAATTCCAGGCGAATTCTTGGCTCTATGGCTTGTAACAAGTGCATGCCTTTTTTTTTTCTCTCTCTCTCTCTCCTTGAACAGCAAGGTTGGATTGTACACCCAGCGGTCCTGGCCATTCCCCTCCCAGCTGTCTGAATCGATCAGCCACCAGCCGTTACATTGCAAGGTCTGTATTGCTAATAAAGCGTGGCGTGCTGCCCTTCGAAGGGCGCGGATGTTTTGTGCGCAGGATGGCCCAGGAAGGCTGCGATCGAACCACCCGTTGATTCAGATGGGGCCTCTGAATTGCTAAGCTGCTGGATTTCTCCTGCCATCCGCTCTGAGGTTTCTGAGATGACGTGGTGTCTTTCACAAGCGTGTGCATTTTCCAGCGGCTACCCAACTCTGTCCCTGGACACAATACAGAATTGCCTGCCCCACTTCCCCAAAATTTGAAGCTGGTTCTAGAGGAAAGCCGTCATTGCTGTGCTCATGCATCTCCATGTGGAAGAGCTGCTCTGTTTGCCTTTGCTTCTGAAGCTGCCGGGTTGCCTTAGCACTGGAAATAGCTGTGCTTTCCCCCTCTAGCTTCCTAATAAAGGCGGTGGGCAGCTCTGTCCAAGCAGCAAACATTGCTGGAATTGTGTTGGTGCATGGGGGCAGCTGTAATCCGAGTGCTGGCCCCTTACCACTGAGCTGGCCGGTCACCGTTGTTGGCAATCAAAACAGCATTATAATGCGATTGCCTGCTCCCACCATGCAAGACCCTGCACGGCCCTTCTTATGCCTTTCCTTTCCTTTGGGCTACAGACACGCAGCCTTTCAGAGGAACCTGACGCATTTCCTCCTGCAGGCCTGATCCCTTTGCTTTTAATAGATTAAAATTGCTCCAAGGTTGCATTCCTGCCATGCATGTGTGATCCCTGCTGTTCTGGCTGCCCTTTAATTTGACTTTACTTGAAGGAGAGCAAAGCACTTAATATTTAACACTCTGTTATCGTCCAAGAGGTATCTGACGGCTCAGACATTTGACACATCAGTGAGATTATCCTCTGGAAAAACAGGCAGGTGGGCTTTTGCATTGTATTCCTGCCATGCATGTGTGATCCCTGCTGTTCTGGCTGCCCTTTAATTTGACTTTACTTGAAGGAGAGCAAAGCACTTAATATTTAACACTCTGTTATCGTCCAAGAGGTATCTGACGGCTCAGACATTTGACACATCAGTGAGATTATCCTCTGGAAAAACAGGCAGGGGGGCTTTTGCATTGATTTTGACTCTCCGGTGTCAGCTTCCTCGCTTTTTGGATATTAAGTAGTAGCTCTTCAACTTGCCCAAATAATTTCCGCTGGAAACGGAGAGTCAAGCTGGCTTCTTTTCTCACTTCAGTGCATTACTAGCAGTGAAAAAATCTGCTATCAGAATTTACTTAGCAGTAAAATCCAGCTCACGGGCCTGCGCAGGGCTGAAAGGAAAGAGGCACGTATTTAGGTCAGTAAATTCTGCAGCTCTGACTGGATAATGCATGAAGCAGATACAGCGAATACAGAGGAGCCATTTTTGAATGCCGTGACCTCCCCGAGGAATCTTCCCTTTTTGGATGAGCCTCGAGCCAAGCTGTTGTTTGCCTCGTCCCATGCCGGCACGTGCTGCGTGTTCTTCCCCCAGGCGTTTTCGGAGGAAGGCCATTTGTAACTGAGAAGTTGGCTGTTCCTCTTGTGCTGAAGCCGGGAGCAGGCCTGCGGGGGCAGAGGAGGCACTTGTGCATTCAGTGTTTTACAGCTGCCTAAAGCTCTCTCCGCATTGCGAGGAGTTTAATTTAAGAAAACTCCAGGCAACCAGTAAACATCCACTTTTCCCAGGCAGATCCGCTGCTCTGGATCAGAGGTTACGTTGGGGTGTGCACATAGGGCCAGCCTCCTATATCTTCGGGCACTTGGTAGGGGACTGGGCATGATGAGTGGAGATGCATACTCGTCCTTGCTCGGTAAAGAAGCAACACGTGCAAAAGTCAAGAGAACCGGAGGAAGGAGCTGTGTGTGTATCCCCGTAGAAGCACCGTATCCTCTAACAGCTCCACCAAACTGTCCCGTTTCACTTAATTAGCTGCAAACTAAGATATCAGTCGTCAGCCATTACTCTGTTGTAACAGGCCTGTTCAAAATAGTAGTGACATCTCTTTCCAGCCCAATATGGACTTCATGTTCTAGTTTTACACTGAGTCTGAAAGAAACACATGCCTGGGTGACTCCACACGGGCCACCGTGGGGTGGGGATTGTCACCTGTCCTGGGCACTGGCCAAGGTGCACCAGGACACTGAGACGTCAGTGTGGGGACAGTCCTGGGCTTGGGGTAAAACATTAACTTACACTGAGACTAAGGCTCCACCATGCCTTAGGCCCTTTTGCAAATGGCTCTTGGACTCCTTGCTCACACTAGAACTTTTGTACGCGCTTATCTTGAGCTCTGTCCTTTGCCAGCGGGAAAGCATCCTAGTGTGTTGTAGGGCGTTGCATTGAAGTTAGGAGTGTTACCTGAATGCCTGTGTTTCCCTCCATTTAGCCGAGCCGTTCAGCGGAGTTTAGCCATCATTCGTCAAGCCAAGCAAAAGAAAGAGAAGAAGAAGGAGTATTGCATGTACTACAACCGGTTCGGCAAGTGTAACCGCGGGGAGAGCTGTCCTTACATCCACGATCCGGAGAAAGTAGCTGTCTGCACTAGGTATGGACACAGGCACAGTAAGCATTTGTGTTTGAAGATGCCCCCTTATGCTTTCTCCTGGCATGCTGGCATGCAGAGCCTGCGTAGTGAATCCATCCAAATAACGAGAGCAAGAACTCACGTAACACCATATTTTCTCACATACAACACACTCTTTTTTTTGGCCAAAAACCGGCTGCTGGAAGTTGATGTCTCCATTATATACAGGAAATATGGTAAGAGCAGTTTCTATTGCTTGCTGGCCAGAAGCAAAAGTAAAATCTGCATGTGATCCACAAGCAGTAGAGCAACACGCAGTTTCGGCTGCTGCCACTTGGTTACCACAAGGAAAGATCACATTTATTCTTCATTCTGCCTTTCAAAAATAAGATGTGTATCTCATTCCAGGGCATGTTGCATGCCAGAAAATATGGTACCGAGAGCATGTGTCATGGCAGTAGAGCACTACACAATTAGTGTGTGTGAGAAAAATGCTTTAATATATGGGTCATTTGAGATGGAGGAGACCCGAGCTTTCTTTGGTAAAGTTTTTAAGCAAACCACTTTTAGCAGTCACGATTACATGTATGTCTTACAGTCATGAAGTCGATAGCACAGCATCCATAAAGCCACAGTGGCTCAAGTCTTGCGGTGTAAGGCAAAAGTTCAAAGTACTTGCTGGGCGCAGCATAGTTAAGATCAAAATTCATACTTAGCCACGGGCTTGCAGTTCCACCTCTCCTAAGTGTAATAATTCTTCCTGGTTATTTTCCTCTGTGAAGCTGGTGCTTGCTCTGTTTTGCGGATGAGGAAACTGAGGCAAAAATAGGATTAGCTCCACTGGAAGTGATGTGTTCATCAGCCCTATTCAGCCTCTCTGCCATCACTGGACAGGTGACATGGATGGTTCCAGTAGTCAGGGATTTTGGTTGCATCATGAAAAAATGAGGGTTGGAAGGGACCTCAGGAGGTCACATCTAGTCCAACCCAGGACCAGCCCCAAATACATCATCCCAGCCAAGGCTTTGTGAGCCTGTAGTGCTTCTGGAGGGGTTGGACGTGTTCAAATCAGCAGGTCCAGATGCTCTCCACCCCAGGGTGTTGAGGGAGCTTGCAGGGGTTATTGCAGGGCCCTTGGCACGGCTTTACGAGCGCTCGTGGTGCTCGGCCCAGGTGCCAGATGATTGGAAGATAGCCAGTGTGGTCCCCATCTTTAAAACAGGGAGGAGAGAGGACCCGGGCAACTACAGGACATCAGTCTTACCTCAATCCTGGGGAAACTCTTTGAGAAGATCATCAAGGAGCACATCTGTGATGGGCCGGCATCGGGGATGATGCTCAAGGGCAACCAGCACGGTTTCATTAGGGGGAGATCATGTCAGACCAACCTGCTTGCCTTTTACGATCAGGTCACAAATGCATTGGATGCAGTGTCGCTGTAGATGTAGTCTTTCTGGATTTCAGCAAGGCCTTTGACACTGTCTTCCACCCCATCCTCATTAAAAACTAGGCGACTGTGGCATCGATGCCTACACGGTCAGATGGATTGCGAATTGGCTGAAGGGTCGTACTCAGAGGGTGGTGGTGGACGGGTCATATTCGACCTGGGGGAAAGTGGGCAGCGGAGTCCCCCAGGGCTCGGTCCTTGGGCCCGCACTGTTCAATTTCTTTATCAGCGATTTGGACGAC